AGTTCTGTAGGCTGGAGTCTGAAATCAAGGTAATCAGGAGAGCCATACTCCCCCAACAAGTTCTAGAGAATTCCTTCCTTGCCTCTTCCAGTTTCTGCTGTGACCTCTGCCGTGACCTCTGCCTACATCCTGACATTGCCTTCCCTTTTGTGTCTCTCTCAAAACTCCCTCAGCACCTCTCTGATGAAGCGTGTGCGTGCGATGATGAAGCGTGCGTGTGATCGCATTATCCCATATAATCCAGGATAAGCCCCTCCTCACTAGACCCTTCACTTAATCCCATCTTTTACGGTAGGAGGTCACTTTCCCAAGTTCCAGAGATTTGATGTGGTTATCTTTTGGAGGCCCATTTTTCAAGGGGCAGATGTGGCTCAAGCTGCAGCTAGATTCTGGACCCCAGACAGTATTACCGGGTCCCTCCTTGATTCCTGTTTTATCTGTCTGGTCTGCAAAGCTAGGTGGAGCTTAAAATAGAGAATGCCATGATATAGGAAACCCTAGCCTACCTCATGCTCAGTCAACCTGATGGCCACTTATGGAAATCTATCACATAGAAGAGGGCCTGGGTCGAGGCCACCCTAAGCCTCTGCTCCTGATGACAGATCTGGCAAATCTCCTCTCTGAAATAGACCCTAGGGTTCAGGCTCACTGGGATGGGAATAGAGACAGGGAACATGTTCTAACACGTGTCCCCAGGGAGTATAGAAATTGGGCTTTATTTTTCTGCATCCCTTGCCCAGGCATCTCCACTCAGGGTAGGACAACAGAGTCTGGCTGTAGCCAGAGCCAGCAGGGAAGGTCAGAGCAAGAGCTGAGAAGCAACATCTGTGCATGCAGCCTCCCTCCCCAGGGGCTGAGTGACAAAGCATTCCTCCCTTCTGCTGGCCACTTCCTGGGAAAACCAGGCATGGAAGCCATAAAACAGTATCGCGGTAAGTCCAGGCATATTAGAAATTATGATAAATGTAATCTGCAGTATTCATCTATTAAAAATACAGAGTTTCTTGCTGGATCAAAAGACACCTGTATTTTGTTGCCCACTCTGCGCCTGAGCTGTTGCTAGCCACGCGCACTCCCCACTGCTCTCCCATGGGCCAGCAGGCGGTGGGGGGTAAGGTGAGCCCACCGCTCACCTTACATGGGCAGGTGCTGCAGAGGGAGGGCCAGATCCGGGCTGAGCGAGGCCTTGCACTTGACAGGTGAGCTCTGAGGTTGAGAAAATGGATTCCAGTGAACCGGAGACCCGGACAATGGAAACGAAGGGAGACCAAAGGAGTGTTTGAAAATCTCCTTCCAGACAAGCTTGTGTTGCTTCTGGAGTATCCCTTGGAGCAGAAGACTTCTGAACCCTGAACTCTGCAAAGCCTGGAGAAGACATACCACCTCCCCCAGCAGGACACAGAGGTTCACCAGGGGTGGTGTGAACTCATTGTTAGGCACAAATACACAAAAGCTTACCAAGATGTGGAGAGATTCTTCCTTGAGGTTCAGGCCATGGGCATATACATGTACCGGGGAGCTGATGGTGAGTGAGGATGCCAGACAGTCGCAGATCGCCCGCAGGTGCTTTGAGCTGAGCAAGGAGCAGGTGGACAGATCCTCAGCTGAGGTGGTGGCTGAGATGTTGTCCTGAAGAGGAAAGATCACAGTTCATGCATCTACTCCTAGGTCTGGTGGGAGCAGGATGGCAATGACCCTGGACATCAAAGAAAGGGTCATGGGGCTGCTATAGCCAGCAACTAGTAGAAGCATCCAGGTCTTGGTGCTTCTCCTTCCAGAGGCTTCTCTCCCTAGAGCTCAGCTACTGCGTGGTGCCTTTGCCCCCTGCCCCGAACTTGCCACCTCAAGATACTGAATCTGAACTGGATCTCTTCTGTTAAGGCAGTTCTTTCACACAGATGATGAAAACTGTCAGAGATACATCAGAAAACCTGCTGAACATTTTGCATGGATCCCCTCAGCATATGGCTGCACTAGATATTTCTAGAATTCCAGGAAGTCACAGAGATTCTGTATACTGGGACTAGTGAACACCATTTGATATTCTTCTCTGGGTCATTTCAGAAAGATTCTGCAGAATTATTTTGATGGATAGGTCTGTTGTTTAGATTTTTCCAAAACTTTTAAACCCTTGCTAAAAGGGCAGGGTAAGAATCCAAGATGTATTGATAATGAAACATAGTGGATTACTATTTTTATATTCCTGTGTGCTTCTGAATTTAATACTGTTTTAAAAAAGAGAAGAATGGTGTTACCCAAGAGGTATCCTCTGCAAGCTGGTTCTGTCCCTCTCCTGCCCACCAGTCTCCTTGTCACTTTCCTGGATGGTTCCAGGAGCATGAAGGGTGTGCTCCTGCCCTGATGAGGCACAGCTGGAGCCTGTGGGGCTGTCACCCCTTCCACGAGCACACATACAAGGAAACCAAGCTTGCATGTCCGGAAGGAGGACGGTGTGAAACCATGAGAGAGAGGCCGTAGTGGTCTGTGCAGTCCTGAGATTGTGCCATGGGCTGCGATGAATGAGAATGGTTTTGAGCCTGGTTCCAGGCTGTGTTCACCTGGCTCTGCATCTGGCCTGTGGGGGTAAGTGTGGCTTTAACACATTCCATCATTAGAAGCTCTTGGTCAGAATTCTCTACTGGTGACTGTTATTCTAGAAGGTTTACTGGGGGGGGGGGGGGGTTGGTGCTGCTCTTCACTGTTACATGTGCTCTACGTATGACTGTATGTGCTTTGTTTACAAATCCTTTGGTACAAGAATCAAATTTTGATTTTTGAATTTTAATAAATGCAAGAATGCTGAAAAAAGACACCTGTATTTTGTTAACAAAACGTGATGGAAGTTGAAAATAAGGCAGTGGATAAAAATATAGCAGGGGTTCAACTTGTTAAAATCACTGTGTTGTACACCTGAAACTAATTTAACCTTGTGTATCAATGTACTTCGATTTAAAAACACACAAATGATCCAGGAGAGACTTCCACTTCTGATAATGCTGTGATAAGTAATTAGGATTAATTACTGGAAAATACTGGAGAATACTGGAAGAACTGATCAAAATATATATTTTTTTAATTATGCTTGAATGGATTGAAAAGTAACAATATAGGAGCTCCTGGGTGGTTCTGTCCATTAAGCATCCGACTTCGGCTCAGGTCATGATCTCGTGGTTCGTGGGTTTGAGTCCTATGTCAGGTTCTGCGCTGACAGCTCAGAGCCTGGAGCGTGCTTTGGATTCTGTGTCTGCCTCTCTCTCTCTGCCCCTCCCTCGCTTATGCTCTCTCTCTCAAAAATAAATAGACTTTTAAAAAAAGGAAAAAAATTAACAATATAGTAAAAAATTTCTGGGCCGTGATCTAAACTACGAAAGAAATTAAAAGATGCAAGCCTGGCATTTGGAGATTGTCCAACACCTATATCTCCAAGCAGGTGCTTCCCGTGCCTTCCATGTGTCCCTCCCACCTCTGCCTGCATCTTCCAGCCTACACCTGTCTTCCCCTACCCCCTCATCCTGTTAACTTCACACTAACACCTTCCAACCTTAGATGGCCTCCTCTCTACATACCCCCTTTTTGTGGCTTTATTAAGTGCTTCTTAATAGAGTTTGATGAGTTTTCATAATTCTGTATTCCCTGATAACCACCATCCAAAATAAGGTAAGCAAATTTCTCTTTCTTTGTGCTGTTTGCAGGCAACACTTCTTACATTTTACCCCCAGATGTCAACTCCATTCTGAATTATCTTATCTATTGTTTAGTTTTGCCTGTTTTCTAACTTTATATAAATGGAATCATCCTGTGGATGCTCTTTGATGTCTTTCATTTAGCATAATGTTTTTTGAGGTTCATCTGTTATCGTGTGTATCAGTAGTTTGTTCACTTTTATTACCGTCTGTTATTTCATTAAATGAATATACCACAATTTCTTTGTCAAGTCACCTGTTGGTAAACACTAGGGTTGTTTCCAACGTTGACCTCTTTGAATAAAGTTGCTATGAACAGGCACGCACAGCTCTTTTGCAGACATGTGTTTTCATTTCTCTTGTATAAATACCTATGAGTAGAACTGCAGAGTTATAGGGTGGATATATGGTTAACTTCATTAGAAACTGCCAAACCCCTTTCCAAATGCTATTTCTAACCCCCACCAGCAGTGTTATTAGAGATTCAACTGCTGTGTGTCTTTGCCAATATTTGGTGTTGTCAGTATTTTTTATTTTCGTCATTCTCTAAGGTATCTTAATATGGTGCAGATTTTCCTTTCCCTCATGACTAATGATGTTGGGTATCTTTTCGTGTGCTTTCCAGCCATTCATAAACCTTTTGTGAAGCATTTAAGATTTTGCTCCAAACTCCTTGTTTCTAATGCTTATTTGGTTCCATTATTTGTTTGAACTGAAATGCGTGTAATTGAATTCTCTATTAATAAATGTTTAAATTGTCTCAACTTTATGTTTTTACCAACTAGCCAGAAATGACTGTCTCTATATACACTTTGGTGCCAGTGGGCCAGTATTTTCAGTGTGCTGCCTTTTTAGCCAAATTTTGGGCATTTGACGTAGGAAAGAGTGGGAGGATTTCCACATTTTCACCAAAACAAACTCTACATCTGGAACCATCCTGTTGCCTGAGTCATAGGTACACTTATGACATCATAACCCTGTCTCCTTCTTCCCTCTTCCTGCCGGGCTGTGGCTGGGAGAGCACAGACCTGGGGGCAGTGAAAACATTGAGCTCCTAATCATGGGGAATTTAGGGGATTGCAGACTGGAGGGGATTTGAACCATTTATGTCCCAAGTCATGGGCATTTGGTTTTGTGTAAGAGAGAGCCACCCAAAGTTACAGTCAGGGGAAGGTGGATTTGCACAGTTAACTCAGGGTGCCAGTCCTACATTTAGGGTCTCTGGGCAAGGCAGGAGGTTGAGTGTTTGGTGGATTTGGCACAAAGTTGTACAAAGAGCACCTATCGATACCTTTCCCCTCTAAACTCTGATTACAGAAGGATGGCCAGTTTTGTGAAATCACAATAGAAGAAGACATTGATGAAACCAGATCAATGAAGAAGAAAGAGAAAAAGAAAAAAATACAGCCTTCACCCACACCGCCACCCCCTCCACCAAAGGTGAGTGAGAGGTCCTCAAAGTTGAAGGTTAACTCCTAGTTGCAGCATCTCTGACCTGAGTCACTCAACAGTCATGGGTTGTCCTCTCTGTGCCCCATAGCATGGCATGATCCTGGAATTTGTCATCTGAACTAGGATCCACAGGTGAAAGATAGTGGTATCAATTATTCCTCAGGAACAATAAGCATAACCCCAGAACGTCCCTGGGCAACCAGGATGAATGGTTGGCCTATCCCAAGCTGGAGTGAGTAGGGATGGACTCATCCTTGATTATCTTCCCCTCTTAGTTCCTTCTCGGTCAGAGAAATGTGGGTGACTGAGGCACGGAGACTTGGTTGTAGGGAGGGGAACAAGTGGGGATCAGACCATGTCAAGCTGGGGAGTGGAATGGTGAGCCAGTGTAGGGAAGGCATTGCCACGAACAGGGAGAGCTGAGTGTAGAACTGTGTGGGAGCATGTGTGTGTGTGTATGTGCACACATGTGTGCATGTATGCATGCTAACTAAAGTCAAGGGTGTGAGAACCAAGAAGAGTGAAAGTGAGAAATGAGTAAGACTCATTCTCAGTAAGGACTCCAGACCATGTGGAGCAGGGAAACTTCTATACTGTGACTTCCCGGAGGGACACAGCAGGTTGTGGGTTGGGCTGGAGTCAGGCATGAAAGGTGAGCAAAGGATGCCACTTCTCCAGCCTCCAAGTGGGATGTAAGGGAAGGGATATTGCACCCCAGGTAGGTGGCCAGGCCCATGTGCAACACGATACATGATGTACTGGTTCCAGGCTGGCCAACGAGGTCCATGTCACCACGTGGTAGCTAGGACGTATAAGGACCCTGAGATGCAGGGGACAGACAGTGTGACGTGTCCAGGTCCATTAATCAGAGAGGGGCAGAGACAGGACACCTATCTGGTCTACTGGCTCCCTGCCTAGCCTTCCTGAAATCCTGAGGAAGGGGACGTTGTTGACAAAGGATCAGGAGCCATTCCTGGCACAGCCTGGAGCTGAGTTGGGTGGGGAATGTCCCCTGAGAGTCCCTTCTTTGTCTTTGCAACCTCTTCCCCCAAAGAAAAAGAAGCTCCCTGACCAAGAACAGAAAGCCATACAGATCCAGGCCTGGTGGCAGGGCACCCTGGTGCGCAGGACATTGCTGCATGCGACACTCAGAGCATGGATCATTCAGGAGTGGTGGAAGATGACACTGGCAAAGCTGCTGGAAAAGAGGAAACGAGCAGCCCTAGAGTCCTACGCTCAGCAAGAACGGGCAGTGGTCAAGCTACAGTCCTTGGTCCGCATGTGGCACATACGCCAGCGATATTGCCGTTTGCTCCATGCTGCCCACATCATTCAGCTGTATTGGCGCTGGCATAATTGCCATAGCCGTGGCTTTTTCCAGGGCAGCTATGACCTCACAGCATCCCATCTGGGACTAGAACTCGAGATTTTTCTGGGGTCACAGATTTGTCAGATTACAGACTGCATCCCCTTCCCAATAAAGAGCTACTCAGGTCTGCTCCAACTCTGTGTCACCAGATCTCTGTCACAAGCTCCAGGAGGTCCTGTGTCAGCAAAGGGTCAGGGAAAATGATGGCAGATACCGGGCATGTCACGGTCCGCTCTGAGGAAGTGGCAGAGGTCATCTGGGGTCCCTTGTGGAAAAGGATTCTAACTACCAGGTTCTGGGTGAGGGGGATCTGTAATTGATTAGCAATGTCTGCCATGGGTAGGAGAGTTGGGGATGCAGGGCCACCAACTCCACCAACTCCAGGGAGACTCCTTCACACTGTGGTCCATATAAATGGTACCTCCTATAGTTATGCCACATGGAGGTTGTGTCCCCTGATGCCCTTAATTCTTCCATGTCTTCCCATTAAATGTAGAACAATTCAAAAAGCCCTCCCATGGTCTAGATAAGCCTGCAGGGTCTGGCCCTTACCACGTCGCCCTCTCCATGTCCTCCTTGGCCCACCCTGCTATTCAGACCTCCCCCGCACATTCCCATCTCAGCAGTTTGCACCTGCAGCCTCCTCTCCTTGGATGCTCTTACCAGGTGGAGCTCCCCCTCCGTTCAGGTGTGTCTCCGTTCAGGTGCTCCACTCTCTCTCCTCAAGGAGACCTTCTTTGACCACCTTATTGAAATGCCTTCCCCACCTTACTGTACGCTCTAGCTCCTGACTCTGCTTTCCTCTTTTCAAAGTTCCCATCACTACCCAAGGTTATCTTGCCTCATTTTCTATTTTCTGTTGCCCCCACTAGAGGATGAGCTTCAGGAGAATAAGGACTCTGGGTTCAAATCTGTGTTCCCAGAACCTAGGTCAGTAGGTTCTGTTTCTTCATCTCTCTCCCTTTCCAATATGTTATTGTATGTATATTTTAGGTTTTGTATATCATGTCATTTTGTCATCTTAAAAAAAAAAAAGTCCCTTTCTGGGTTGGGAGACACTGCCCCGCCCAGGTCTAGCCAGTTAGTTCTTAGAGATAGCTAAGGACTCATCCCAGAGCACGCCTTTCATCTGCAAGCTAACCTATTCAGGGAGGTACCTCCTTTCTCTCTGTCCTCTACACCCCAGAGGGCTGCATTTCTCTGCCTTAATTATCCCAAGCCAGGTACTAGGCACCTGCCCACCCCCAACAGCTTAGGGGCCACAGAAAACACTCAAACCAGTCCATTCTAAACTGTTACCCTTTCCTGCCTTGCCTTTCCTACTCCGACATAGGCCATGGGAAAAGTTTTTCCCTCATCCTTGTCTTCTGCCACCTGACAAAAACCTGATGACCCTGTGTGACATGCGATGACCTCTTCTTTGAGACATTGAAGTATAATAAACTTTATTTTGTGCTTCTATTTTCTTGCAGCTGCACCTGACTGATCATCACATGAAAGAACACAAAACATGAATATAATTTAAGTAAAATTCACATAACCATTTTTAGATTAGCCATATAATATTAACGATTAATATAAGACTAGGGGCGCCTGGGTGGCGCAGTCGGTTAAGCGTCCGACTTCAGCCAGGTCACGATCTCGCGGTCCGTGAGTTCGAGCCCCGCGTCAGGCTCTGGGCTGATGGCTCAGAGCCTGGAGCCTGTTTCCCATTCTGTGTCTCTCTCTCTCTGCCCCTCCCCCGTTCATGCTCTGTCTCTCTCTGTCCCCCAAAAAATAAATAAACGTTGAAAAAAAATTTTTTTTTAAATACAAAAAATATATATATAAGACTAAAAATTCAGTGGCCTTTAGTACCTTCGCCATGTTAAGCAACCACTGTCTTCTGTATCAAGTTCTAAAACATTTTCATGGTCCTAAAAGAAAATCCTGTACCCATTAAGGGGCACCTGGGTGGCTCAGTCAGCTAAGCATCTGACTCTTTATTTTGACTCGGGTCACAATCTCATGGTTGTGAAATCGAGCCCCACATCGGGCTCTGTGCCTAGCATGAAGACTGCTTGGGATTCTCTCTCCCTCTCCCTGCCTCTCTGCCCCCTCCCACTCACACACACTCTCTCTCTCAAAATAAATACATAAACATTAAAAAAAGAAAGAAAGAAAACCAAAGAAAGGGTTCCTGGGTGGCTCAGTCCGTTAAACGTCCGGCTGCTCAGTCATGATCTCGCAGTTCATGGATTTGAGTCCTGCTTCGGGCTCTGTGCTGACAGCTCAGAACCTGGAGCCTGCCCCTCCCATGCTCATGCTCTGTCTCTCCCTCTCTCTCAAAAATAAATAAACATTAAAATTTTTTTAAATAAATAAATAAACATTGAAAATAATTTTTAAAAAAGAAAAGAAAACCTTATACTCATTAAGCGTTAATTCCCTGGTAGCCCGTCCTCCTGCCAGTGGCAACTGCCAATCTGCATTCTGTCTCCATAAGTTTACCTACTCTGGACTTTTCATATAAATGGAATAATAAAATATTTTGTCTCGTTTCATACACTTCCTATGGTTTTGAGGCTCATCCACACCGTAGTATGCATCAGTACTTCATGACTTTTTATAGCTGATTAACACTGTGTGTCTATACCAGCTTTTGTTTATCCACTCATTTTTTTTAACTTTTTAAAAAAATCTATTTATTTTGAGACAGAGGGCAGGAAGGGGCAGAGAGACAGGAAGAGCGAGAATTCCAAGCAAGCTCCACACTGTCAGCACTGAGCCCCATGTGGGGCTCGAACTCACGAACCTCAAGACCATGACCTAAGCCGAAACCAAGAGCTGGACGCCCAACTGATGGAGCCACCCAGGAACCCCATTCCACTCATCTTTTGATAGATATTTGGATTGTGTGTACCTTTTGGCTACGTGAATAATGTCACTACAAATATTTAGCCACTACACGACATTACATTCCCACCAATGGGGTACAGGGTTCTAATTTTTCTACATCTTTTCTGACACTTTTTTTTCATTTTTGCAAATTCTAGCCAACCCAGTGAGTGGGAAGTGGTATCTCATTGCAGTTGATTTACATTTCCCTCATGATGAATGATGTTGGGCATCTTCTTGTGCCTTTTGGTCATTTGTCCACCTCTGGAGAAAAGTCTGTTCAAACTTTGAGAAACTTTTCATTAGGTTGTGGCTGTCTTTTTGCAGTTTCAATAAACATTTATGTAATGAATGAATACACAATCCTACCAGGACTTGAATTTGTGGCTTCACCATGGTTCACAGCCTATTTTCTGGAAACAGCTGCCCCACCATCCCTGAATGAATCTCTCAGACAACCATCCTAGGTCCTTCATACCCAGTTGACATGTTATTCTAGGATTTTTGGAATTATTATGTCTCTCTGGCAATGCTTCCATGTGTGTATGTGTGTGTGTATATATGGGCAATGGAAGGAGGATCTATTGGTCTCGCCATTTCATCTACAGATACTGCTCTCTCTGTTGGTTTTCATCTCTCTATGTGTCTCGGTCTATCCCTCATAATTCTGTCTCTCATTATATCTATAATCTGTTCCTCAGTATCTTTCTCCCCCAGTCTGGGCCTCCCTCTGTCCTACACATTTCATGATGTCTCTGTTTTTCAATTCACTGGATTTTCTGGATCTGTACCTTTCTGGTAGAGATCATTAATAGCTAACCTGCCTTATATGTATTTCTTCTCTTCTAGGTCTTGCTTGCCCCTTATCCCTAAGAGCCCCTCAAAGATGAGATGGAGAAGTCTCATGGAGCGTACCGATATGGTTGCTCCTGGATGATGGAGGCATGCACCTAACCTAAACTCAGCCTAGGACGTGCAAGTACTTAGAAATGTCAGAATATTTTATGCATGTGGCCACAGCGATTGGTTCAGGAATGAGTGCATGACATAAGTCAGGCCATTGAGTCTCTGTTGTGGTGCTGTATTGAAACTCCTAGGATTACCAACTATAAGGATTATGAAACCAGAGCTGCTAGGGGCACCACATGGAAATAGCTGAGAATTGAACTGACACAGAGTAAAGTGGATCCATCAGTTGCCAAGATAAAGACTAAGCCGTGAGGATTCCTTTGGGCCCCTGGAGCCAGCCATGCCTGAAGCTACAACTACCTATACTATGGGAATTCATTTTGTGAGCCAGTAAACCTTCATTTTCACTTATGTCAGTTTGTTAAAACAGCAAAAAAAAAAAAAATCTCACTAGATTGATAAACATTTAAATATTACCCAGGGATCAAAAAGAATGAAATCTTGCCATTTGCAACAATGTGGATTGAGCTAGAGTGTAGTATGCTAAGCGAAATAAGTCAGAGAAAGACAAATATCATATGATTTTACTCATATGTGGAGCTTAGGAAACAAAAGGAAGTGCCTGGGTGGCTCAGTTGGTTAAGTGTCCAACTTCGGCTCAGGTTATGATCTCATGGCTGGTGGGTTTGAACCCCACGTTGGGCTCTGTGCTGACAGCTCAGAGGTTGGAGCCTGCTTCAGATTCTGTGTCTCCCTCTCTCTTTGCCTCTCCTCTGCTCGTGCTCTGTCTCTCTCTCTCAAAATTAAACATTAAAAATTTTTTAAATAAAAAAAAGAAAACAGGTGAATATAGGGGAAGAGAAGGAAAAATAAAATAAGATAAAAACAGAGAAGGAGGCAGACCATAAGAGACTCTTAAATACAGAGAACAAACTGAGGGCAGCTGGAGGGGAGGTGCCTGGGGAGATAGGCTAAATGGGTGATGTGCATTAAGGAAGATATTTGTTGGGATGAACACTGGGTGTTACATGTAAGTGATGAATCACTAAATTCTACTCCTGAAACCACTGCTACACTATATATTAACTAACTTGAATTTAAATTTTTAAAAAAGACTTAAATAAAATGTAAGGACAAAAAAAATTAAAAGAGATTGAATTTGATGTGAACTGCTTCTCAGAAAGTGGTTTTCAAAAATTAGTTTTTGAGTTAGAAACCTGACAGAAGGTGTGCCTAGGGAGTTCTCAGGTAAGCGTGGGGTTATCTCTCATTTAATGAACCCAGGTCTTCTAATGCTGTGTAGTGTGGTGAAAAGGGAAAGTGCTATAGATTGATGGGTAAATCAGCTAATTATCTAGAATTAGAATGAATGAATGTGAATCTAATCATGGATTGGTCACCTATGAGCCAAATGTGGAGTCTTTAGCCTAGTTCAACAAGTCAGCAGGCAGGAGTCATGGGCAACCATCAGCCGTTCATGAAACAACTGTGTTAGGAATGAATAGAATTGTCAGGTCCTTCTCTTGCCTCACTCGACTTACATAAAGCACATGTGTGCAGTCTTCACTTCTAGGATAACCTCTGAGCTGTGTCTCTTAAAGAAAGTGGACATCCTATTATATGTGTTGGATCGAAATAGAGCAATGCTTTTCAAACTGTAGCATACATCACAATCATGTGAGGGGGCTCATCAAAGCAGATTGCTGGCCCCACCCAACATACCTGATTTAGTTTACAGGGTCCCAAGAATGAGTATTTCTAGTATGTTTTCTAGGTAATGCTGTGGCTACTGTTCTAGGGAACCCCACTTTGAGAACCACTGGGGTAGATCTTAACTATGTGGTCACTGTGAAGGACAGCATGACCAAAATAGCAGAGCCACACATAAATTGGAGGTTTATTTCTCCTTTCCAAAGAAGTTGAGAAATAGGTGTCCAAACCCTGGGATGGCACTTCAGAGGGTGAAGAATCCTAGCCCCTTCTACCTTGTTACTCTGCTGTATACAGTCTGTGAGCCCAAGATCACCTCATGATCCCAAATGGCTGTTTCAACTTCAACAATCCCCTCCACAATCTAGCCAGCGAGGAGGAAGGAGAAGGAGAAAGGCATATTCCTTCTCTTTTAGGGCATATCCTTAAAGTTACATATGCCACTCTTGTCCATAGCTCAAAGGAGGTAACAGAAGACCAAATAAAAGGGGAGATATACCATATAGTTATTGATAGAATGACTCAACATTGTAAAATTGCAAATTATCTCCAAGTTGATCTCCAGGTGGAACTCAATTCCTATAAGAATCTGATCAGGAGTTTTTGGGAACTTGACAAGCTGATAAAAAATCATATTAAGTAAGTGTCCACAATCAGTTAAGACGGTTTTGACAAAAAGACTAGAGCTAGGAGTATGGTAAAGCACATGAAAATACATCAAAAGACTGTAATAATAACAGTGTGTAGTTGAGACACTAAGAATCTAAGGTGAGGAGTAAACATTTAAATACGGATTTGTTGGATTTCCCTCATCCCATTCTCTTCCTTCATGTGTACAGCTGGCAATAGCCCCTCCTCCACCCTGGCTGACGAGAGTTTTCTTTTCTGCCTAAGTTGAACCAGAGAGGATCTAGACTCCAATATTTCAGTCATGGCGGAAGGCAGAGGTGAAGGCAGAGGTGGCG